CCCCAAAAACCCACAAATAATCATTGAAATCCTAAATCCAACCCTACACCCCAAATCCAGCCCCCAAACCCACCCCAGAACCTGCAAACCCACCCCAGAACCTCCCAACCCAGACCCTCCTTCAGCGGGATCTGCCCCACGTAGAACTCGTCCAGCTGGGCCAAAAATCCCACAAATAATCATTGAGATCCTAAATCCCTCCCTGAGCCCCAAATCCAGCCCCCAAACCCACCCCAGACCCCAAACCCGACCCCAATTCCCCCCCCCCAGGGTCGGGGTCTCACCTTGAACTTGGGCACGGGCAGGGACAGGTCCCGGTGCTTGGCCCAGATCCGGCGGGGTCGGGGGTCCTGGACGGGCCCCGCCGGGGGGAACCCCGAATCCTGCGGCCCAAAACGGGGTCAGGGACCCCAAAATGGGGTCAGAGACCCCAAAACACCCCCAAAACCCCCCCAGGGAGGGCTGGGGGGAACCCCGAGTCCTGCATCCCAAAACGGGGTCAGAGACCTCAGAACGGGGTCAGAAACCCCAACACAGGGTCAGAGTCCCCAAAACGGGGTCAGAGACCCCAAAACACCCCCAGGGACCCCAAAATATCCCCAGTGACGGGGGGAGCCTGAGGCACCCCCCAAACACCCCAAAAGCCCCCCAGGACGACCCCAAGAAGGGCCGTGGGGCAGCCGAGGGGGGTCTGTGGGGGGGGAATTGGGGGTCTCTGGGCAGCTGGGGGGTTCTGGGGGGATTTGGGGGGTCCCAGGGGGGTTGGGGGGGTTATTTGGGGAGGGGTCTCACTCACAGGGACATTGAAGTGCACCCCATCGTATCTGGGGGGGTTTATGGGATTTGGGGCAGTCTGTGGGGTCTGTGGTGGTTCAGTGGGGTTTGGGGGGCTCAGGGGGGTTCAGGGGGCTCAGGGGGGTCCCGGGGGTGTTTGGGGTGGTTATTTGGGGAGGGGTCTCACTCACAGGCACGCTGAAGTGAACCCCATCGTATCTGTAGACCTTCTGCCCCCCCCTGCGCAGGGCGGGGTCCAGCACCAGTTTGTAGCTGCGCCAGGGCACGTTGGGGGTCCGGGGGGCGTCACCCCCTCCCTCGGGCTCCATGGGGGCCCTTCATTTAACCTGGGGGGGCAACGGAGCCGCCCTGAGACCCCAAAACAGCCCCTGTGACCCACAGACCCCCCCTGAGACACCAAAACATCCCTGGGATCCCCAAACCCCCCTGAGACCCCCAAACACCCCCCGAGAGCCCAAAACAGCCCTGAGACCCCAAAACAGCCCCTGTGACCCACAGACCCCCCCCTGAGACCCCAAAACACCCCTGAGACCCCAAAACAGCCCCTGTGACCCACAGACCCCCCCTGAGACCCCAAAACACCCCTGGGATCCCCAAACCCCCCTGAGACCCCCAAACTCCCCGAGACCCCCAAAACCCCCCCTGAGACCCCCAGACCCCCCCGAGACCCCCAGACCCCCCACCTACACTAGAGAGGAGAATAAAAGGGGGAGGTCATCACATCTCCCCTCCACCCTCGGCCCCCCCTAATTGCCCCCCAGACCCCAATTCCCTCCCAATCCCCCCCCAAAACGCCCCCGATCCCAATTTCCCCCCAAATCCCCCCAACCCCTCCCTCAGGCCCCCAATTATTCCCCAACCCCCCCAATTCTCCTCCGGATCCCAAACTGCCCCCGAGACCCCCAGACCCCCAATTCCTCCTCACACCCCAACCCCCCCCAGGTGTCCCTGGAACCCCCAGACCCCCAAATCCCCCCCAGACCCCAAATCCCCCCCAGAGCCCCCCGGACCCCAAATCCCCCCGAAACCCCCAATTCCCCCTGAGACTCCCCAGATCCCGAATTCCCCCCGTTCCCCCCCAGCCTCCAGATCCCCCCAACTCGCCCCCGTTCCCCCGAATCCCCCAGACCCCCCCAGGCCCCAAATCCCCCCTCAGGCGCCCCCCGGATCCCCCTCAGGCCCCTCCACGCCCCCCCTTCCCCCGTGTCCCCTCGGGCTCGCCGCTCCCACCTCCGCGGGCCCCGGGGGCGGGTTCCCGGTGTGCGGGGGGTGTTTCCGGGCTCTTTCCGGGGGGTCTCTGGGTTTTTTTGGGGCGTTTTGGGGGTTTTTTGGGGTCCCGGAGCCGCCGCCGATCGGGGCGGGCGGGGGAAGGGGGCGGAGCCAGCGCCGGAAATCGCGTCCGCGCGGCTCTCGCGAGACTTGGCGGCCGCCGCCGCACTTTCCACACGAGGCGGAGCCGCCGCTTTTCGGGTTAAACCCCCTCAAAAAGTGCCGACATACCCGCAGACTCTCCGTAAAATCCCTGGAAATGAGACGAGGAAGCAGAAAACGTTTTTGCCGGGAGGGTGGGAAGCGGAACGGCCGATGGCGAATCTGCCGCTCCCCCCTCGGCCCGCACTTTCGCCACGACCCCTTTTCCCGTTTTTCCTCCCGACTCTCCCGGTTTAAACTTTGAAACTCGTTTCTCGCTTTAACAGATATTTTCTAACTTTTAACCTGGTTTCTGGCGTCATTCTGGGCCTTTTAATTTAATAGATTTCTTTATTGCGGTGTCCCCCCCCCCCCCCCGGC